GGACGAAATACCGGAAAACACACTAAGTGGTCTCCAAAATGTAGGTATTGAATGGACAGCTGGGGGAAATCTGTGCGACTTGCAGTACGCTGACGACATCGTTTGCTCGTTTGAATCTACGGAGGATGCACAGGGAGTACTTGACAGATTAGCAAGTTCTGTCGCTGTGTTCGGAATGTGTTTTGCACCTTCAAAGTGCAAAGTGATGCTACAAGACTGGGTGTTGCCGATTTCTGTTCTGAAACTAGACGGTCAGGAATTAACTGAAGTTGACCACTTTTCGTACTTAGGTAGCTGCGCAGGACTGAAACACCTGTGACGGCGATGTGACTTTTGTTGCGTATATTGCGCCATTGTACGATCAGTTCTGCTTTAAGGTTCAGGCCAAGAATTTGCGGGTAGAAGATATCCGTCACCTAGCGGTTTTCGACAATTGATGCTTACGTAGTCTGGCCCAAGTGGGATGGAGTGAGCGAGTTAGTAACTCAGAAGTAATTCGTCGGGTGTTTGGGAATGCATTGATCAAGAACTCGCTATCGCATCGGATCCGGCTCAATGGGCTCCGTTGGTTAGCACACGTTTCCCGCATATCCGACGGTCGCCTACCGCAACGCGCCTTATTCGCAGTGGCTCTTGCAGGCTGGAGAAAGCCACATGGAGATCAGCAGATAAAGTGGAGACGAGGCATAAAGAAATGCACAGAGCGGTTAGGTAGAGTAGGTCTCTCGTCTTTCGGGTGGGGGTTCAAAAGACTCCGAAACCGCATGGTTGGAGACGTTGAAGGCTATGGCTGCGAACCGACAGCAATGACGATCTTGCTCTCACTTTTTATTAGATCAGAATGCTTGAAATAGTATGTATGCACAGTTGGACTGTGTACTCTGTGTTGACCATAGGTGTTCGCTTTCATTTCCTGTCACTAAAAGTTAAACCGAGTTGAATGCTACCAGGCGCGGGTCAGGCTTTGGCTGCCCGAAGGCTCCGGTTGTTGATTCCTCAAGAAAATTTACCTGCCTTTGCCTGGGCAACCTGGCACACAGTCTGTCCTCAGACAAGTGTGAAATATAATAATAATAGTAACTGAACGGTACTCTTTGGGAGGTTATTTCTCTGGCACTAAAGACGGGGGCTTAGCTATCTCTCAATGGAAATCCGCCCTACCAGAAGCACTGCACTCAATCCGTTCTCTCCTATGAAAAGCCACAAACGTCACTCCATATGAACAACTTTTCTGTTTCGCCCGACGCCAGTGGTACATCGCTTCCAACCTGGTTGACTACCCCTGGCCCCGTACTGCTCAAACGCATGGATCGGTCCTCAAATCTGGATCCCCTCGCGAAAGAAGTTGATCTTATCAATTGCCATCCGCATTACGCCTTGGTGAAACTTCCTAATGGAAAAACAGAAGATGTCTCCATACAC